TGTGTGTGTGTGTGTGTGTGTGTGTGTGTGTGTGTGTGTGTTGTGGGTGGTCATCCGAGGCCTCACAGGGAAGGTGACACGGGTCACGACTGACCGGGGGCGTTGGGCCAGGGTGGCAGCCAAGGAGCCAGCGTGGGGCAGGAGGGCAGGGTGAGGGCCCACAGTGACATCCTACGGTGGTGCAGGTGGAGGATGGATTGGAGGAGGAGAGGGTGGAGACGGGCAGTCTCAGGGAGGGGCCTGGTGGGTGGTGGCCCTGAGGGTGAGCAGGTGGGGTGGACTCCTGGCCGGTGCTCTGCCTCACCGTCCAACCTGCCTTCTTGCAGCCGAGGCTGCCTCTCTGCATTTCTAAGCATCCGCAGCACCAAAGCTCAGCATCCTCTGGGCACACCAACCCCGGTCCAGTCCACCGCTTGACCTTGGCACACCTGCCAGCCCAACCACAGCGATGCTGGCCGCACGGTGCTGCTTCTGCAAAGCAACCTCTTTCAGGGCCCAGTGGCTTTTCCGACAGGCACACGCTTAGTGGTGGAAACCAAGCTCACGGCCCTCAAGGTGATGCCACCCACAGAGACCCCATAGGACAGGGTAGAACTGCCCGTGTGGGTTTCCGAGACTGTAAGTCTTTTATTATCATTATTATTTGGGCGTTAATACATACATCATTCCAAAGTTCAGTCCCATTAAGGAGAATTGCACAATTGCAACCACAATCCGTCTCCACACATTCTTCTTCTCCCTGACTCTCCGATATTGAAACTGTAACTCTTTATGGGACTAGAAAGCCTCCTCTCTCTCCCTGGGAGCGGCTGGTGGTTTCCAACTGCTGACCTTGTGGTGAGCAGCCCAACATGGAACCGCTCACAGATGTCCCTGAAAGGGCCCTGATGGCCTGGGCCCCTTTGCTTGCCTGATCTTGTGGGGTTTTCTGGATTCAGTGTCTGGAACCACTGGGCCGCTTCCAGGGGGCGGTGGGTGGGTGAAGGTGGTTCGTGCAGGCAGCAGTTAGTAGTACCCTCACGTTGCAGATGAGGAAACTGAGGCAGAGATGAAGGAGTCCAGATTTGAATGCGGGGCCCCTGGTCCCAAAGCCCCATGTTAACTGTGACTTAAAGACTCACAGAAATGGGGTATTTGTGGCTTAAGGCTTAATGCTGTACGACATCTTCCAAGAGCTCAGGTGAATTCACGGCTACATGTTGAGCTGTGAGCTGCACAGGTAGAAGTCTGAAACCACCAGCTGCTTGTGTTGGGCCGCGTTGACTAGAGAAACAAATTCATAGACATTCATATGTACATAAGAGAGAGCTTAATATCAAAGAGTAATTGTATATTG